TCGGACTCATAACCAGCTCGTTGTCTCCCATTTGAATCCCTTTCAGAGGTGTGGCCTATTATCTGAAGGCCTTCTCAGCGTATGCTCACTCTATCTCCGTTTCCTTCTGCGTATTTGCTGCACAATAAGTTCTTGGCTGGTTCGCTGCACTACCAGAGTTCCATGTTGCTTATACCTTCTGAATGACCGATCAGTCATCTGATTTTCGACATTGACCTAAGGCATCTGTGTTCATGAAAGTTGACAATCTATATTTAGACTAGCTAATCATGATTAACTCTTCCCCTCCCGCACACCATCATAATTTATTGAGTTTCTATCCTATTCTGTTTTGACATTCCCTTATGATTTTGTATATTTAATAAATAAATTTAAAAAAGCTAGTGGATTTAGAACCACTGACATAGGTAGACGTAAGTAACTAGAGGATCAGCTGCTGTTACGTAGTCACTATGACATACTAACCATCCCGGTTATCGATGAACTGACCACTTGCTGATGACTTAATCATGCTAGCATACTATAATGTGTGTATCAGCGTTTGTAGAATGAGTGTAAATGCATAACATTCATTATAATGCTAAATGCATTTTTTCTAAACCTATAAACAGGAATACCTAATGATAAGTCACTTTATTTTATTTTGTTCCTTTACGTTCCCAGTGGAACAAAGGGCTTCAAGCTACAGCTTCGAAGTTTTGGTAGCAGAAGTATTTATTTTTACGGGATGAGGTTTCTAGCCTCATGTCCAAACCTTCCGTATTTACCAGTCTTATCATTGGCTTAGTGAGGTAAAGGGGTGCGTCGTCCGGAGACCGAACCCCGAACCACCTGCGTGGTTGGCAAGCATCGTATCACTGTGCTACCAACGCTCGTAAAGTCACTTTAGTAGATGTTTATAGGTATATGGTTTGATGTGAAGGCCTCTGTCTTTGAAATGCACTGGAATAAACGTATCAATTACTAGGATTTCTACGCACTAACCTAACAAACTCCATATTCCGTTGCTATTTCTCAATAAATAAACAACATAGAAAGGAAAATATTAATATTCAAAACCTTAGATTAATAGTGTAGTGTTCTCACCATCCTGATCTAATAGTTTTTTTCAAGATAACATTAGTGTAGCAATACAAGTGGAAATACTGACACAATCCAGTCAGCACCAACACTAAGGAATAGAGACATGATCTCAGGTATTCTCAATAACCAATGAATATAATCAATACAGTTCTACAGGAGGTTACTTAGGACTAGAAAAACTCAATGCTGTTTTCTCTCAATACAGCACTGAATGATGCAGGTTTCAGTCACCTAGGTGTTGTCAACACTTCCTTTGATATTGCAGGTAAGCGTTTCTGGTAAGTGACAATAAATCCAAGTCTAGAGCTTGCCCTCCCCTCACTACCATCACCCGGAATTGACTTCAAATATTTTACACTAAACAAAGTTGAAAGCTCAAAGATACATTTCCTTGGCCAGCAATCCAACTTGATTAGATCTCGATCTGAAATGCTTGTCATTAATGTGCACAGTGATTATTTGTTTGTTTTTGCTATCTAATACATGTGGTATGCTACAGCTGTGATGGTAGTCTGTTTACCTATTATTGATTCACTGTTGGAACATATATATGTATATAAATGTTACCGTCCAGTTGAACTTTCCAATTAAACACATTATTGTTTGTTTTAGTAATATTTATTAATGATAATGATAATAATAATAGTAGTAGTAATAACAGTTTGTTTTTTTGAGAAAAAATATTTAATCTCACCTATTCAAATAAATAAATAAATTAGTAAATACAATAATAAACAATACTTGTGTTTATGAATAATTCGAAATATATAAATATATATATGTAGTCTGATGTTGATAAATTATACACATGAACTCTAGACAATAACGGTGTATTTGATATATCTATGGGCATATCTTAAAGACGCAAACGTGTACATCCACCCTGCCATGCATAGACATACACATAAAGAAAAACAACTAAAAGTATATATTTATTTATATGACTTATTAATTATGATGATTAACTGTCAGATAGTGTGGAAAATGTTTTGGTAGAATATCGTTCTGTGGCAAGTTTGTTTACAGTTTTATTCACACTTTCTTTCAGGTGTTGATTTCGATGTTATTATTATTAACACTAGTACTCTTACTATTTGGTTTCTCTTTTTCTTGATATTTTTGGTGGAAAACTGGTTTTTCTCTCTATTAAAAAAGAAGAAGGTAAGAGAGACAGGGGGGAGGAAAGAAAGGAGAGGACCAATCCTTTAATGTTGAAACAATCATCAACAATAACAACACGAAGAGAAAAGAAGAGAATTATTGTTACGGAATAATAACTGATCATCAAAGGACTAGTCTGCCAGTTTAGCGACCAATGTAGAAATATACACGAAGAGATACAATAGAAGAAAGTTATAAGCATGTGTAAATAAATGTATTCAAAGCAGGGAACAAAAGAAAGGGAGAAATGGGATAAATAAAATAAGCAATTTATCAAAAGTATTAAGAAATAGGCCTTTTTACCACCAACCTCTTGGACTCGTATACAGCCCTCTTACCCTCTCTCTCTCTCTTTTCCTCATAATCTTCCTATAAACATGTACACGCACCTGAAGGCGCACCATATTAAACCCAAACTCTTTCACTGATAGATAAATAAATAAGTGAAGAATCAGCGAATAAATGGACAAGTAAATAAGTTAAAGAAGAGAGATAAATAAACTGGTCAGAGAAAGTCATGTTTTCACAAGATTTTCCTCTATGTGTGTATGTATATGATGGTTCATTGATTGGATTTTAATACATTCGAAAGGTCGGAATGAGAAACAAGTTGAATCAAGGCAGATAAATAAATAACTGAATCTGTTATTCTTTCTCATTATTAAGTATATTTGATGGGAAATTGAACCTAAATGTTACTGAAATATTAATGGAAATCTCCCTACCTCCCTCACACACACACACACGCCTAGAATACAGTAAAAGTAACTAACCGAAAAAGGTATCGTGATTACTTCCAGTGTGTTGTACACTGTGATAATTTTGTACTACGTGTTGGTCACCCGAAAGTGATCTCTAATCAGCCAAATAAAGGCTAAGACAGGGAAGCACTATCTTTTTCTTTGTAGCAAAGTAGAAATCCATGTTTCGTGAAGGTTGCATACTCATTGAGAATAATGTTACAATAGATGATATCACCGGTAATTGGGGAGCACTATTTAGGAAAGTTGGCCGTCAAATCCTTACTTACTTTACTTTACTTCGGCTATCTCCTACGGGAGGATGAGCCGGCTTCATGAACATCTCGAATCATCGCTGCCCAGGCGCGGCGATCTGATGCAAGGTTTTGCGATAGGGTTATCCAATTCTTGTTCCACAGACGGAGTCCGTAGACGGTTTGTAGCCTCAGGCACTCCATATCAGCCTTGACTGTACCAAGCCATGTTTTCAGCTGTCCACCCCTGCAACATCGCCAAGATGGTAATGGCAAGGGATTTAGAACTGATTTGACCAGATCGTCATCTGGTCGGCGCAGAACATGGCCAAACCACCGAAGGCGACGTTGTTGGACCAGTACTGGAATTTGGTTGATGTTGTAGCAGCGACGAAGAGTTCATGAAGTTTCATGGGAATTTGGTACGAGTGATGTCCCCAGAATCACTCGGCCTTTTGTTTGAGAGTGCAGCTCTAGCCTTTACACAACCAAATGTGTCCTAAAAGGCAGTAGGAGTGGAGTAGGGAGTCCACTATCCATTGGCAGCCGGTGACCGGATTTCGGTTCATACACCTTTTTGAATGGGGCCAGACATCCAGGACATCCAACAAGCCCTCTGTTCAAACGTCTGCCGGTGAGCTCCAGTGAGCTTCATACGTCAGTCGTTGGAGGTTTGGAATCAGGGTTTAGCCATATCCCCTAGACTGTCATCCAATGGACAGTCAACCCGATGACGAGCGCCGGGCATCTGCTTTCGCCCTCTAACTTTGGTGAAAAGCACCTCCGCCACGTGAAGGCAGAGAGTAGGACTTCATCAGGAGAGGCTATGTAAGACGCCCGGTCATATGGGAGCATTTCAAGAGGTGTGCGGAGGGGTGGCCAACCCGCAGCGCAAGGCACCCACCCCCGACCATCCTGAGGCTTTGGAGGCCCACAAGTCAAATCCATATGGATTAAGATTTGATATATTTAAATTTCACAATTTTCATACTATAATTAAACCATCATATTTCAATGAATAGGAGAAACAGATGTTTACTATACTCAATGAAGTATTTATCCAAATGATAAGTCACACTTGTGCGAAACACGCCTCGTGGATTCCACTACCAGCCAATACCAACCGTATGCCATCAAATCAGCCTTAAGGCATCATCGAAGAGTCTGTTGACATGTCAACAGAGGATGAGCATTTGCAAATCGTGAATCTAATTTATGGCATGAAAAATTCGCCCAAGTATCTCGCTTGAAATCGGGTGATCTGAATTGATTCGATTCTATGAGTTGAGTTAAATCAGGCACAACGTAGATGAGCTCGGCTCCAAAAGAACGAAATGTCATCCGTCGTTTAGATCACCTCGAACTGGCTAAAAAGCAATACAAGTTGTTATGATTGATACACAACTACTCACATCAATCAATCAATCAGTAGTATATCTGGTTTTGAGTAAATACGCTTGCCTTCTTGATTACCATTCATGGTATCAAGCAGATCATATATTATGATCCTAATAATTTGGTCTCCACGGAGAACTATGGTAGAGCTTCACCCCTCGAACGGCGTACATTGCAAATCGCTAGCTCATTCGTAAACTAAGAATCAGTAGAATATTGCCTGTGTACTACTGAATTAAATTATACCGCATATTCTATTAAACCGGTGATATTTTTCTATTCATTGGTTTGTTATTTGAACTTCTAGATGTGAATTATGATTACTAAAATAATCCACAGTAATGTGTACCATTTTTTATTTACCTAGAATATTATCATTGAAAGTATTGAGCAATTTGTGAAAGAATCATCATTATCAGACGATGAAGACACACTGAATTTATCCCTACAAAATTCTGTCAATAAGTCAACTTCCCTGACGAATAATCTTAATCCACAGGACTGTGTAAACTCTACACAGAACAGTAGTAACCCTATAAAGTCTCCAGAAGTGGTAATGCAGACTAGCATCAATGACCTGCATCCAAAGGGTCTTCCAAAGGGGGACAGTAACAACACTGATATGATGAATAAAAGCCGATACGCCTCAATTCATCCGAATACTGAAGTGAATAATATCAGTGAAAGTTTGGACTCTAGTCAGTCTTTTAATGCATCTAATAATTTCTATGGTAGTATACGACAAATGTATGAATTTATGCAAAATCGTCAGCAGCTAACTGATCCTTATGTTAACTTTCACCAGCAACAGCAAGAACACTGTCGGCATCAAAGGCAGTCAGAACAGAATTTACATCAGCCAACATCCTTGTCAACTCCATCTCTGCAACCCCAACTACAACAGCAGTACCAGACATCTCAGACTATACCTTTCAATCCTTCAGACTATGATACGAACTTCTTAAATATTCTTAACTCACTTACTGGTTTCCCAACTTATCACCAAACCTCAGCTTATCCATCACTGCAACAGACACCATTAAAGTTGTCTGAAATGAATTCAAATAAATCAGAATCACAATGTCAACAATTGATTCGATCATCAGAGTCAATACAATGTCAAATCTGTTGTCAACTGATAACAGCTGATCATGAAAATACTACTAAAAATAGTGGTCATAATTCAATTGAAAATCTTATTAAACATTTAACACTTGTGCATATGCTACCATTACCAGTTGTCATTAATTACGTAACAGCTTATATGACTGAGAAGGCGGGCGAGAATAATTCAAATACTATACGAAATGATAAGGCTAGTGGAGTTAAAAATACCACTAATACCACTACTACTGTTGCTACGGCTAATTCCAGTACACCTGTTGCTAATAATGGTAATAGTCATAATAATAACAGTCGTAACATCAACAGTAAAATTCATGATAACAGTATACATCACCGTCTAGCAGACAAAATGAACAATGAACAGTTGTGGAATCCCACTTATTGTGAACAAAACCCTCTGCCATTCCTATCAGCTGTTTCAAATAAAGAAGACAGATACAATCAGAATAGTACAGGTTTCGAAGGCATTTCTTCTAAAGGTAATCGACTTTAAATTACAGTGAAATATTTTTCTGAACTGATTAATACACTAATACATGTCTAGGTAATATAAATGTATAATTAGCTTCCCAGTCTTGTTACACTAAAGTTCGATTATTATCCTGTTTATTGTTGTTGTTTGTGAGGTTGCATGTAATTCAAATGTAATCGACAACTTACTATTATATTCTGTAGTTAGTACATACGTATGGACGGATCACACTGTATTTAGAAATTTTTAAACACAGGAAGGAATCTCCTGTTCTAATTTGTAGTTTCTTGGTTACTTACACGACCACTATTTCCCTGTGATATACTGTTGTATAGTCAAAGTACACTGCATGATTAACTTGTATTTATGGTAGATGGTGGCTAACAGTGAAATCCAGGATGCACATTTCGTCCTGTTTATGACTCGTCACTTGAATGTACCTGCATTCCCAGTGAGTGATGATGTCCACACTGAGAACTGAATCCAATACACATCATTTCGAACACCAAAGCGTTACTCACTAGGCCACCTGAGCCATAAGAGCCACCTCTTGTGCAACAAGCATTCCTTACTAATCGTTTTGAATTCAGTTTTGATTTTCCCGTTGACTGACTGAAATGTAATATTCGACGTCTGTTGATATGTCGGCTCCTAGTACGAACAGTTCGACGTCGGAGTGTCAGATACTACTTTTTCAGAATGCTGTCTCCGATAGACTTATTCAAGCACATGATAAATCATAATTAGTACAATGTGGTTTTTCGTAGTATGTATCAATTGACCTACGCAGTCACTGGAAGCCAGTAGACAAAACCACAGAGCACCGGGCAGGTGTTATACCAATAGTTAGAGGATTGCTGATAAAGATATATGTGAAATGTAGAGGTTAGTTAGTAGCGAAGTGAGAATTATAGATTCTCACTGTTGAAAAAAAACTGTGCAAACGAAAACGAAATAACTATCTGGTTACCTGAGGTTTGAAACCATTCGCCTGTTTGTAAATCTAACTTTGCTTAAATTGAGTCGACCTCTGATACACCTGCCAGTTTTAACTACTTAGTGAGGTAAATGAAACTGAGGCCTAATAAAAGGTTAAACACTCTCGCATTGATCTTTTTCATCGGTAAAAACATAAAAACAATAGAATATCAGTGAGTGACTTCAGTTTATACAACTACCAAATTATTACTGAAATACAAGGTTTCTTTTAAAGTTGTTTCTTTCTCACCTCTTCAACCCATCCATTATATAAAAAAGTTATTTGATACCAGTACAGTATTCACTACTAAGTTTAAAACTGAGGAACATTTCATGAGAAATGCAGTAGCAACAACAACAACAGCACCGGGTGAAAAGTGGTTAACACCAAGACAGGTTAATTTGTTACATGTTCAATCTCTTTTATTTTAATAAAGTGCGCAATAAAGTTTTCTAAAACACTTATCACGTGGAACACATCAGAAAATATCATCAAAAAGAAGGCAAAATTATTTGTAGTTTTTCATCTAAAAACACAACATTAGTATGACTTCAATCTTTAGCTTCTGTGTACGTTTGTCTCTAGGTGTGTGTGTATATATATTTGTGTGTGTTTATCGAAGGACCAGCTATTGTAAATCCATTTATGGATAAGGCAAGAATACGCTGAACAGAAATTAGTAATCAACAAAGATATATATATATATATATATATAATGCTGTGAGATATCAAAATACGCGCAGTGCTTTGAAGCAAAATAAAATGGCGCTATTGAAGTCAAAAACAAACCGAAGGAGTGGCATCCAACACACATGCATATGCATATAGTATACACATAAAGTGGAAATATAAATCACTTTCGTTATACTGTCAAAATTCTATTCCCACCTGTGTTTATTATAATATATGCAATCATTATCACTACTGCTGATATTAATAATAATATTATTATTAATTATCATATTGCTATGAATATCCTAGTGATGGGCGTTAATGAATTATTTTGCTTAGAAGGGTTGCAGTCATGCTACTACTGTCGCTCTTACCCCAAATAGGAATACTTCAATAGAATTGTTTACTAGTATGCGTAACTAGTACCCTCTCTTGTTATTCACGTTCGCCTATATTTGTGTTTATGTGTGTGCTTGGGAGCAATATACCAGTTAGTTGCTGTTTTCCTATTTATTTTCGATTTCTGCAAATAAAGAAGAACCCTCCTCCCGCCCCTCCCCGGAAAAACCCAAAAAACAAAAAGGGCAAAACTAAAGAAAATAATCTTGTAGATGAAGGTAATTTTTCTTTCACCGAAATACATTCAACTCGATCCCACGATTGTTATAATACAGGTGTATTATAATGGCACCAATAAAATGAATGTTATAAAAACTATGCGTTGAACATGATCTTTAAAATGTTAAAATATATGGGCTCAGCTTTAATTCACATAGGTAGTGAGTTAGTTTAGTAATAGGTATGGTGATATATATATATATGATTATTCTTCGAGGTTAGGAGCAATTCAATACATGTGTAAAACTTAGGCACTGTGATAGTAAGTAATTCCATATTAGTTTGTTTATTAGATGTATCACTAAGTGAAACAGTGTAATTTACTGGATGACGTTTCGAACAAAATTTATTGTTCATAATCATATCAGTTATAACCATACGACTTCGAAACTTCAGTTTTATAGTTTTCTTTGTTTTCTCCTATTTGTCGTAGGGGTAGTAGAATTTTCCAGATATCTGGGACAGGAATCTAAATCATCAGTAGTAATTCCATACAAAGAAGGAACCTCGAAAGCCTTACGCAGAATTCTTAACAAGGCAGGAATAAAAGTGGCATTCAAAACCACAAACTCAATTAGAAAAAAGCTTTGTTGGTTAAAGGATCCTGTGGAGCTTTTAAAACAAAGCAATTCAGTTTATCTAACACCCTGCAATAATTGTCAGGTCAAATACATAGGTCAAAGTAGTTGAACAGGGGCATTCAGGCTAGCCGAGCATAAAAACCTACCAAAATCTAGACTAGTTGACCCGAATGAGATAAGAAATCTAGAGAATAGTTCAGCTATAGCACTACATGCAATTACACTCAGTCCTACCATAGGGTGGAATAAGATGACATTTTTAAAATCTAATGTCACAGGGTGGAGGGAGAGATTGATAACAGAAGCTTTGTTTACCGAATCAGCTACAAATAAGTGTAGTAGGAATGATTCAACACCTGCCCCAGATATCTGGAAAATTCTACTACCCCTACGACAAATAGGAGAAAACAAAGAAAACTATAAAACTGAAGTTTCGAAGTCGTATGGTTATAACTGATATGATTATGAACAATAAATTTTGTTCGAAACGTCATCCAGTAAATTACACTGTTTCACTTAGTGATACATCTAATAAACAAACTAATAAGGAGTAATTTAAGTTTCTATCTATGCTATACGCATACGCAAGCACATGTACAAACGTAGGATTCAGAGATAATTATTGGGGGAGTGGTAAATAGAACTCGCGTTATAATCTGCTTGCAGCTCTACTTCTGAAGGTATTAATAGCATTTGTAATAGTTGAAGTGGTAGTAGTAGTAGTAGTTAAGTCTATCAGTATCAGAATTTTCTAGACTTTGAAAGTGACGAATTATTGAAATATGCTGATGTAGAAAATGGATACAGTTCGGTTATACATGTTCTGAAAAATAAAACCAATCGTCTACTTATTGGTTGCTTAGACATTTGCATTTTGCATCTTTAGATAAAGCTAAAATGATAATGAACAATAAATATCTCATTTTGAAATTGTCACTCTGAATTCGCCGTTGGTTGAGTCACCTGAACCGATATATCCCATTCACTTATTTCCCCATGGGAGCATAAAGCTTCAAGCTTGAGCTTAGAAGTTTCAGTAGAGGTGGTATCGTCGTTTTTACGGGGTGGGTTCGCTAGCCACATTCACAACCTTCCTACCGGGTGATCTACTTACTACTGGCTTAATGGTATTTAGGAGTGCGTCGGCAGGTAATTGAACTCGGACCACATGAGTGTTGGAAAAGCATTCTTCCATGGAAGTACTGACTTAAATGAGTGGGAGGTATTACATAGCTGTTTCATCCCAGTTTGAGACGCTTCACCAGTGCTCACCCATGAACCCATCTGGGTTCTCACCCAGGAACTTCAGCTTACATGGCCAGTCCCTAGACCATTCGGTCTCCGTCGACACGTCAGCTTCCAGTATGGATGCCTCAACAATGCCTTAAGGCTGACATGATGTTAATTGTTTGATGGTGGCTAGTATTCTGCTCCAGGGAGTACCTTTCATCCTGTTTGTTTGAAACTCGTTAACTGGAACGTACCTGTACCCCAGTGAGGGACACTGTTCCCATTGAAACCTAGTATTATTCACTAGGCCACTTGGTCACGACAGCCACTTCTTATTGTACATTAGATATTAGTTGTTGTTTGTTGAAATTATTACTTCTGGAACTTAGTAAACATTTTCCCCATTTTTAAAATATTTTCTTTCAATGTCAACAGCGATGTCCACTGGTACTACACACACACAAGAGTCAAGCTTACCAGATGACCTGAAACTTTGGACATGTCCGCAGTGCAGTTTAAAATTTACAAATTTTCAACTATTCCACATACATTTTACACAAGTTCATAATACATCAGATTTGAATTTATTCAACTTTGCTGAAAATCTTTTGCATAGCTCATTACAATTCGGTAATAATCCTTTATTATCACCACAAATGATATTATCTGCAATGAACCAATCAAAATCAGTTGGTTCATTTGATAGTCGATCTGACAAGACTTTGACCAATTCATTAGCAAATAATAATTCAACATTTAATCCTTTCAGTTGCGAAGATAACCCTGATTTACGCAGCATTAACAGTGCAACATCGTCAACAATGCGGAGTGATATACTAAAGGAGTGCAGTAAGTGGTTTGGAGTTTGTAGTCAAGTGGCTAACAAAATTATAGATAGTAATTGTTGTAACAACAACACAAATAATAGTAATAATAATATCCCTGAAACATTTCCAATGAACAATTCAACTTTTTCTCAAGCCAACTTAGCAGCAATTGCAGCTGCGGCAGCTGGATATGGATTTCCTTTACCACAGGGATTATCGCTGAAACCTCCGACTACTACTTTATCATCACCTACACCAACATCAACTGGAATGCTAAACAGCTTTAGTTCAAAGTTATTCAACTTCCCAACAGCTACAGATATAATAAACTCCACTAATTCACCTGTTGACATCATCAATACGCTTAGTAATTCTTGTGAAAATGCCGGAATAAATATGAAAAATAACAATAATAGTAATAATAAGACTCCATCTAATTTATCAGACAAAAGAAAATTTAGAGAATCATTACATGGTTATACTTCAAATCTCTTCGAGGCTAAACGTATGAAATTCCAAGAACAAATCTCTACCACAGGATCAATTCCTTCAAGTCAAGGTAGGTTGATCAGTTTCCGATTTATTGGTTTTATCTCCTGCTTTTTTCACCGTCACTTATGTAGCGCATCACGTTTTTTGTATTTCTATTAAAATTAAGAAGAACAATGTCATCTAACAAATTAATTACTATCAGTTTTTCATCTGAAACTAATAAATATTGGAAGATAATTCTTGAGGAAAATGTGTTACTACGTGGTTCACAGCGATTTTTAAATCTTAATATTATTGACTGTTAATAGCGACAGTGGTTAGTCGGTTCCTCTTAGTTTAGGCATCTTCAGTAAATTACATCTAAAAACATGTTGTCATTAATCAACCAATTTGTTCATATTTGGTGACTGGCAACTAGCAGTGGAATCCTGAATGGGCATTTCGTCCTGTTCGGAACTCGTCAGGTGGATATACCTGCAGTTCTGTGTGAGCAGTGGTGTTCCCATTGAGACTCGAACCCAGCACTTATCGTTTAAAACCCCACTAGGCTATGAGAGCTACCTCTTGTGCAGCAGGTATTAGTTATTTACTTGTCAACATGACAGCACACGCCTGAACATTTCGTCCCAGTATAACGAATCACGAGAAAATGGGAAATTAGCCACCAAGTGTTTTTTGTTTTAATGACTTGAAACTATCGATTAGTGTAAGATGAATTCAATTTTCATCAAATGGTATTGAATTTTTACTATGACTTTCTTTATGATATCTCTTCTCGATTGACAGAAGTATTCTGTGTGTATATTTGTATGTAAAGTAAGTTATACCTTCAAGCTGTAACGGATACCTCAGCATATTTAGAAGAAAAATAATGATGATATATGTATTATGAACATCAAGTAGATAAAAATGACACAATATTTTATTATTTGACAAATAATCTGTATGATAATAATACACATCTCAGCAGGTTAACAGAGAAATATAAAATGTCCTTTCTATATATCATTTATATATATATATATATATATATTCAAAGATACTGTTGTTAATAATGATAATAAAGGCGTCAATTTTATACATCCATCAAAGCATAAACGCTGACCACCCTCCATGGTCCCACTCCACCTCCTGCTTGTCACTCATATATGTATGTGTATTCATCATTACCAAATAATAAACATAATAATAGTAATTATAAGCTTATTAGTAATATTAATAAACGATTTCACAATTAACCCTTTCACTTATTTGCACAGTAGGCTGAAAATGAAGAGACAGTTGAAGAAAATGTAAACTACTTATCAAATATTAATTTCGTGGTTGTAAAAAATATATACACTCCTGGTTTATATTAATAAATTTCATTCACCTACAGATAATTAGCACTTATATATATATATATATATATATTTCCGATTTATCGATTTTCCTAGTTTAAAACTATCACTGACAGATAGTATATGGAATTATTTGTGATAATAATAATAATACCGTATTTATTGTTTCGCTGCTGGTAAACACACGTAAATGACTACAGACTTGAATTTAGCGCATAAATGCTTTAAAATTCTAATATTTTATTTCTCTTACAATACTAACACACTCGACACTGTTTCATTTAGTGAATTGCAGAAATTTTAAATGGTAGGAAGATGTTTCCCTTTTTTTACTAAGTAATTCAAAAATAAGTCAGTAAGGTGGATTTAATGTATGCTTTACTGATGAGTATGAACAAGTGTAAAACTGTGGTCAACTGAAGCTTCCTGACAGTGTTATACAGTAATATTTACTGATGACGTTTCGAGCACTTTGATATGATTATGAGCAATAAATTGTGCTCGAAACGTCATCAGTAAATATTACTGTATAACACTGTGAGACTCTATCAAAATAAAATTTACCCATAATGGAATTACACTCTACCACAGTGCCCAAGTTTTATTCTTATATCAATGAAGCTTCCTGGCATACTCAAGTATAGAGTTACATAATTTACCATATATATATATATATATATATATATATATATATATATTCACCAACTACTAAGAGTAATCTAAGAATTTTCTAGTACATGCTTTATTGTTCTGAGAGAGAATTTAGGCACTAATGTAGCATTCTGAATAAGTTTCAGTTAGAGAAGTATAGTCTTAATGTGGTCAAGACTGATTTTTATACTTGGTTAAGTGATATGCACTGGTGTTGCTTTTTCTAAAATTAGACGGTTTATTCTTGATACTGTCACTGACCTTATAATCATTAATAAAGACTTTGAAAAGAAGTGAGTAGCTGTTAGAGGTTCTTCGTCAGCATAAAGATGAACTTCTTGAGGTTATCCACCAAATAATATCATGTCTACTGCAGGACATCGTCGAAATGTCCATACTAGGGATCGGTACGTTAACAGATATTGATTATTTTGTTCCGCTAAAACTAGTCAACGAAAGATCCCAAATGACTTCAATGCTATGCTTCCTATTTCTTAAATGTCTGAATACTTACTTCATTCGTCTACAATTTTTAAAACATACATTATGAAGCACTGATCACTCTCTTCTCCATTACCTACTACCTACTGTTGACCACCCAGAGAAATTCACAAGAAAAAAACAAACTAATATCTGTTTTATTTTTGTTGACTTATGTGAAGCTTTGTAACCATTACTGGTCATTATCCCAAGCACACAACACACATACATGTTTATACAGAGGTTGTGCACTAGAGATGATTGCAGTGATGAGGATAAATAAACAGTACTGTTGCATTCATCATCATCATAATAATAATAATAATATAATAATAATAATCATAATAATAATAATAATCAAATGTAATGAAATTAAATAAACAATATACAATATACTATATATCTATCTATGTTAGTTAGTTGATTAATTGTTATTTATTTACTCAGATATTTACTTAGTCTTCTGCACATTCACACACCCATTCCACGGGGGTGGAGGGGGGATGGAAGCACAAATTATCGGTATTATTGTTATTATCATAAAAAAATATTAATCTTATTCATATATCAATCCATTTCTGTGACATTGTCTGCGAATAGTAATGCAGACAGGTTAAATGGTTACATTTAGACTGTTAGTGAGATTGGAACAGAGATTTGTGCTTTGTATGCCATGTACTTCTCTGTGTGTATATGTGTGCACGCGTTTATAGCTCTGTGGTGGACATACCCTATCTCCAAAGCTATACATATAAATACAAGTACAATATATCGGCACGCATTAATGTATTTATATATATATATATATATATATGATACTGCCTTGATGAATGTAATTCAATTATTTTCCTGCTGTTGTTATTATTTTAATGAAGTTATTTAGGATCTTTTAAAATATCAACAATAATAACAATAGGTAAAACAAACAGAACAGAATAGATAAAAGTTGGGTAAATAAACCAGAACTGAATATACACTGCATACCACCATTAGTGTGAGAAAATGGAAGTTGGGTTTTATTTTCTAATATACCGACAAAATACCGACTAGCCGAATTTGACTATTTTTATAAAATAGCTGCCTTTCTTCTTCTTCTTCTCCTTTCAACCTCATTTCAACTACCATTTACTGGCTTCAGTTTTAATTATAACATTATGAAAATGCCCTTTTCTCAAACAGGCAGAATTGATGCTCGCCTTTTACCAACCACCAAACCACGTAGTGCTGAGCAAAAGCGTTTCCGGGGTACACGCTTACAATGTCCGACGTAGTCAGTTTCACAAGAGCATGTGAAACGCGAGAACAGGATTGACAAAATCTTCCAATGGTAAACACTTTCTCGAGTCAAGTCATTCAACTGCACTAGATTTATCTAAATAGCCAAGTTCAGTCACTCTACCCCACTTATGTAAAGCCCAAAGATTTAGTTATACATGAACAAATATATATATATATATATAAACATAAGAATAGGGATTTTATCAACACTTATTAACTTATTATTAATAGAAACGTTTAATATTTATTGATTGAAATTATTTTGAACATCCCGTGGATTTATTTTGCACTGGATCGGAAGGCTCACTCTCTCTCTGCTGGCATGTTGACTCTCAGTGTGTATGCTCCGAATATGTCTTAAAGTTAACTTTATGATTAGGTTGTGTTGTGGAATTCAAGAAAGCGTGTTTCGTTTTCCATTTGGGGTCTCAATCACTGCCAAGTGAAATATTCAGTGACTGATGTGACATTAAAACCTTGTCAGTAATTGTGTCTGTATCTTAGTTGATAGAGTGTCAGGTGGCTACTGATCACGGGATCAAATTTTGTCGTCATCCCGAGATTCATTTCAACTTCATTTATCATCTGTTTAAAACAAAACTAGCTCACCAAATTATGACTATTTCACGCTAATTCTGATCGACAATATGTTGATCATAACTGATCATTTTTTGTGTACAGGGGAGCGCCTTCATACACTGGTCATTATTCCAACAAAAAAGGGCGGTTGAATTCATTTTTAAAAATTATATTTTTGATTTTGATATTAAGTAAACAATTAGACATAGTTAGTAATTATATTCTGATAAGGTGTGCAACTTGTACACTACTATATTTTTATAAAATGTATTTACTTAAAAAAAATATTTTTGTGAGGTCACCATGTATAATATATAAACAAAGTTCTATAAGAATAGTGATTATAATAATTATTTTTATTATCTGGAACATACGCCGAATGAACTTGTTCTAGGGGCTTGTCTAGCGTTGTTTATCCTGTCTCAGTGGTAATTAAGACAAATTATGTAGAATAAACTTCTGTAGTAATAATAATTATTATTTGTTAGTTTGATAATATCACCACCACGTGTTTCATTGATACTGTCTTCTTACCTAACATGTTATATATATATAGGTAAATGTATATCATTCTGTTAGATTTCTCTAAGCTTTTTGGCCAGTTCTCAAAGAATTTTTAGTTTTGTGGAAGAAACTTGTTCAGTCCCTTTACCGTCGAACGATCCTTGCTTCTCTTCAAATCACGAAGACATAGATATTGGTGTACACCGAGAACAACACCAGTCAACAGCAGGATATA